TAAACTTATAACACAAACACAATTGATATAAACAAATAGTCAGAACGATAGCTATTTTTTTCATATTTACTTTTCATATTCAATTATAGAAATGTGTCACAAGTTGAAAAAAAAGAAGCCTTTCAAATTGTCAAGAAGAAACAATAACATTGATTTGGCATCCACTGATAGATTAAAGAGTGCGTATGAAAATAAAAGACGGATAATTGAATTAGGATGCACGTTTTACACTTCATGTGCCTCACTATATCATCTCTCGCGCAGAATTAATTTGCCTTGAAGAGCCTGCGCGGCTCCACTGATTTCTCAAATAACTTTCCTTTCTCAAGTGGTTTCTGCCAAAGCGTTTTTAAATCTATAATCACTTTCACATCTAGAGGAGACGCTCGTGTCAACACTGCCAGGAATTTTTAGATTCAGCTTAATTCGTTCCAAGACAGAAATGCAATGGTTGAACTCTTCAGGAACGAATGATGTTTTTCACCACCATAAGCACAATGGGCAGGAGATGTCCAGGTGCAGTCCAGGTTGTTGGGGTAACGAACCGGAGAAGCCAGGGCTCAGGATCACGCCCGCCACATGGTGGGTCAGTGTCACGCAGGCGCTTTAAATGCACAAGGCTGTCATCCTGGTTCTCAGTTTCCCAAGGAAAACTTCATTCCAGCCTGCTGACTTGGCCAGCTAAGCAAGAAGTAACTCTGCCGGGATCACGCACGTAACACAGTGCTCGGCGCTTTGTTATTTTGGGGCTTAGCTCTCCCTGTTGTCTGAAATGCTTAAGAATAAAGACCGCGCTGTCAAATGTATCTTCTGGTGCTGAGGCTCTCGAGGGAGGTAGTGTATTTAACGTTGTCACGCAAGCTGGCACCCACTGACTCAGTTTTTCGTGCTATCATCGAATCTGGCTGTCTATTAACTATTCTGATGCTACTGCGGTGTGCTTACTGAGATAAATGTAATGCATCGCATGGCTCCGCTCCCGTAACTACCTAAAAGGTCTGGTGTGCTTATGATCCTGTATCAGATAGAGAAAACCGAGCCCAGAGAGGTTAAGGAATTTGCGCTGAAGTCACATGGCCTGCTTAATTAGCACAACCAGGAATCTGTTCCACCATGCCCGGTTCCAACCGAAGTCTCCAACAGGACAGGCTGCCATCAGGGTTATTCTCCAGTTTGGAATGCAGCTAGCTGCATGCACCTGGCTCAGGAACTTACGTGGATACCCCGGGGTGAGATGAGCGTCCATTCCCACCCGCGCCCCCATCGCAGCCACGCACAGGTCTGCTCTCGTTGAGGTGAACTCTAAACGAACAAGACTGATTTATACATAAGCATTCCCAACAATTTACGTTTGCAGCACATGAAATGCTAATATTTGGACCATTTGTAACTTATGTAAAATGATGACTTTCTTACATTCAAACTGAATAAATGCACAGATACTTTTTCAGGAAGCTGCATGAAACAGTTTCATCTTATTCTAAGCAGATGTTCTCATTAGGAAAACATTTTAGACAAATATTTCTGGGAGAACCCTGATTCAGAAATATCCCTAGGAGCGTACAGTGGAGCCTTTTTTTATTTTTTTTTTTGTTTTTTGTTAATCATTCAGTGTACGACCTGTCTGAGTCTAAATTAAATATCTTTCGAGAAATAGCCAAAATTCAAGTAGTTAATATGCAATTATTGAAGCCAGGCATCATATTCTAGTTTCAACATATCGTACATAAGTAACAACAAAATGCAATATTAACAAAATCAAACAGTGTATCTTTTTGTGTCGTAGAGTCATAATTCCAGAAAGTCTCGCGGCAAACCAACTTTGTCTGATGATGTAATGCCAGGCGACTTCCTGGAGGGCGAACCCAAGCATCTGGCCAGGGGATCCGGCTGCAAAGAAGGAGATGAATAAAAGGAAGTAGGATGGTAGAAAACGTTGGGAGGAAGGGGAAGAAGACAGATCTTTAACAAGTCAACCAAAATGAGCAAATTCTTTCTGGAGTGACGTGATTAGACTCATATGACAGAGAGGCTGAGTCTACACACACTAGGACATCACCTGCCAGGTAAGGCATACCCCCCTGGCTTTGCTGTCTCGGCCATTCGAGCATCACCCACTGCAGATAACCAAGGAGGAGCCAGCTCTTTAAACTGAAAACACCTTCTGTAGAACATCTGAATATGTCAAATATTGGCTCTTTTCTGAACAGTTATCAATGAGCTATTTTTTTCCCTAAATTCAGCAATATTTGTGGTCAGAAGAAATTCAGAAGCAGAAAAAAAAAAAAAAAGAAAAGAGAAGGGAGAAGGCAGCGGGGGAGGAAGGAGAAGAGGAAGGCAAGTACCTCCCCCCACCCATGTCCTCCACACAGCTATGACAGGTGACAAGTGGACTCCTTGGTAGATCCAACACCAGATCTAACTTGCCTCTCATCCATTGCTAAACCAAAGACATGGCTTCTTTGTTGGCATGGCCCACAAACATAACAGAAATGAGTATGTTCACTAATAAACATACAAAGAAGCCACATGTGTGACTATTTTAGGCACTACACTACATCATCTGTGGCCACAGAGTTGCATAAATACTCTCACATTCCTGAGAGGCTTAGGAAGCCCACACGGACAGATCACCACCTGCCTGCATCATTACTGACATTTCTATTTATGTCCAAAAAGTACTGGATAGAAAGAAACTAGGGCAAGATTAGAGCATTTAAAATCAAATAGTTTAGGGAAATGGCTTAAGCACGCGCTCATTTGGACGTGCCTATGCAGATTCAGATGCATTACCCAGAAGACACGTTCGAAGCTCCACGGAGTGGCGAAGTACGAGGGGAAGATGAAAGACAGCAAGCAGATCAAGGCTGAAAAGAAAGCTGAGCTCGGGCCCGTGCCTCAAGAGCGGAGGACGGAGTGAAAGTGGCTTTTTACTGATTTGGAATTAGATTTGAAATGGAAATGGATTATGAAAATTACAATGTCGTGAACAAAATACCATTTTAAGCCAGGATAAATGATACAGCCACGTATCAAAACCACCTAATTCGTATCAGGAAATAGAACATGGTCCAGCTCTAATCTGGCTTAAAATAGAATTATTTAGTCATCTAATTTTCAGCAATTGGCATCCAGTGTGACAACGCAAAGCCCAAATGAAGGGATTAAAATGAGGCATAACCCTAGTTATCCTCATTATCTCAGGGAATACTAAAAAAATGTGTCATTATAAGAAAACCAATCTGAATGCTTATCTTTGGTAGAATTTACAGGAGCACATTCTCCATTTGACTGTACTTACGTATTGAAAATTAAGTGTCTCTTGGGATTGACAGAACTGGATAGTAAAGTGACTACGATTTCTGAGTTAAACCCTAGTTTTTAGTTGATAGAACTTGTGCATATTGATTGCTGATTGATGTTTTCTGTGTGTGATAAACATATGGCAAAGGAGTTAAGGAGTTAATAGCTACAGGATTTCGGGGACATTCTAAGGAATCTTTACGTCATCTCTATGGTTTCTAGCTGGCACCAAAGGCATAGTGATCTGGACAGCAGCCTCGCTCACCGCGGAAAGCCCAGCCGGCGCCAGGGCGGGCGGAGCCCTGCCGTGTCTCTCCTCCTCTGACTTCACCGGTATGAGAACCTGCCTCACCAACACCGTGACCCTGAGAGCCACAGGACCATGTTGGAAACCCTGAGTTATACATATCCCTGATGCGACCCAACGGCCCTATCTTCCCATCTCCCTGGGAGAAGGTGGACTCACTCTGGAGAATCCCTGGAGCCAACCCTGATGAAAGTGATTCAAAGGCTCTGTTTCTTCTAGCACTGTAGGATCACTGCCTCTCTGCTCAGAGGGTTTATATTCAGAAAAGAACTAAAAAAACTGAAAAATCTGAGAAAACAAGGTCCTATTAATGGCACCCTTCCACGAGGAGTCGCCTCCCTCCTCACCCACGCGCCCTGAGTGGCCTCCAGGAACTCGCTGAGTGAACTCACAGACCGTCCCCATGGGGCTGTCCGTGCTGCTCCCTCCCCACGAGTAGCATTCATGCATTCGTGTTCTCACCACCCAGGGCTCCCGCCTCCCCGGCAGAGCAAGTCACCCTGGCCTGGCCATTCCTGCCACTGCCGTCCTAGGTACGGATTCCAAAGGCAAAAGCTTCAGAAACTTAATAAAAAATACACCTTCTTCTACCGCAGTGATGACATTGGATGCTTGTATTCATTCATTACTAACATTTAACATGTGAGCCCCATCCACTGAGCACCTAACTTGCCCACCAATACCAAGGGCTTCAGAGAAATCCACAGGTGGAAGCCCAAATAATGAACCAAAAGCACCCCAGGGAAGCCAGAGCACAGACACTGGGGGAGCCAAATCTCACAAAAGACCACGACATTTCTGAAGACACGGCCAGAAAGAATGAGGTTTTAGTCTTAAACTATAAATGTATTTTTTAAGGCGAAGAATCTGAAAGTTAATAACTAAAGATTTAAAAAAAAGCCTTTTTTTGTAAACTTATAAAAACACAATTGATAATAAAAATTCATAGAACGATACTATTTTTCATATTTATGTTTTATATTCAATTTAAAATGTGTCACAAGTTGAAAAAAAAGAAGCCTTCAAAATTGTCCAAGAAGAAACAATAACCATTATTGCATTCCAGCGATAGATTGGAAGAGGCGTATGATAAATAAAAGACGGATAATTGAATTAGGGATGCCACGTTTTACACTTCATGTGCCTACTATATCATCTCTCCGCCAATTAATTTGCCTTGAAAAGAGCTGCGCGGCTCCACTGATTTCTCAAATAACTTTCCTTTCTCAAAGTTGTTCTGCCAAAGCGTTGTTTAAATCTATAATCCACTTTCAATTAGAGAGACAGTCGTGTCAACACTGCCAGGCACATTTTTAATTCAGCTTAATTCTTTCCAAGACAGAAATGCAATGGTTGAACTCTTAGGAACGAGATGATGTTTTTCACTCACCATAGCCAATGGGCAGGGAGATGGTCCAGGTGCAGTCCAGGTTGTTGGGGTACGAACCCGGGAAGCCAGGGCTCAGGATCACGCCGCCCATGGTGGTCAGTGTCCCACCGCAGGTCGCTGTTAAATGCACAAGGGCTGTCAGTCCTGGGTTCTCAGTTTCCCCCAAGAGAAAACTCATTCCAGCCTGCTGGACTGGCCAGGCTAAGCAAGAGCTAAGCTCTGCCCGGGATCACAGCACGTAACACAGTGCTCGGCGCTTTGGTTATTTTGGGGGCTTAGCTCTCCCTGTTGTCTGAAATGCTTAAGAATAAAGACCGGGCTGTGCAAAATGTATCTTCTGGTGCTGAGAGGCTCTCAGGGAAGGGTAGTGTATTAACGTTTGCACGGCAGCTGGGCACCCAACTGACTTCAGTTTTTCGCTGCTACTCATCGAATGGTGTTATTACTATTTACTGATTGCTAACTGCGTGCTGCTTACTGAGATAAATGTAATGCATCGCATGGCTCCGCTCCCGTAACTACCCTAAAAGGTTGGTGTTATGACTATGCCCATCTTACAGATAGAGAAACCGAGCCCAGAAGAGTTAAGAAATTTGCCTGAAGTCACATGCCTGCTAATTAGCACAACCAGAATGCTGTTCCCACATTGCCCGGTTCCAGAACCAAGTCTCAACCAGGACAGGCTGCCATCAGGTTTATTCGCAGTTTTGGAATGCAGCTAGCTGCATGCACCTGTCCTCAGGAAACCTTACGTGGTACCCGGGGTGGAGATACGTCCATATGCCCCACCCCCCATCTCAGCCACGCACAGGTTATGCTGCTGGGTCTGAGGTTGACTGTAAAGAAACAGGACTGATTTTATAATAAACATTCCCAACAATGTAGGTTGCAGCACATGAAATTCTAATATTTGACCATTTGTAACTTATTAAAATGATGATTTCTTACATTTCAAACTGAATATAAATGACAATACTTCTTTTCAGGAAGCTGCATGAAACAGTTTCATCTTTATTCTAACAATGTTCTCATTAGGAAATACATTTTAGACAAAATATTTTCTGCACCAACAGTGTCAGAAATCCCTTAGTTCCTACAGTGGAGCCTTTTTTTTCTTTTTTTTTTTTTTTTTTTTTTTGTTAATCATCAGGGTAGACTGTTGAGTCTAAATTTAATATTTTGAGAAATAGCCAAAATTCAAGTATAGTTAATATGGCAATTATTGAAGCCAGGCCATCATATTCTAGGTTTCAAATATCGTATAAGTTTAAAAAATGCATATTAAAAAATCCAAAAGTGTATTTTTGTGGTGTGAGTCATAATTCCAGAAAAGTCTCGGGCAACACCAACTTTGTTGTGATGTAATCTGCCCAGGCAACTTCCTGGAGGGCGGAACCAAGCATCTGGCAGGGGAGCTCCGGCTGCACTTGGTCCGTGGTGAGCCTGTGGCTTTGCCGGAGACACACCTGTGGTCTGAGTGTCATCCCTAAATATCCCGAATACACTCAGCAGTGACAGCTTTCTCCCAGGGCACCCAAGACTTCCAATGACAGTAGATATGTACGTCCAACCAACCGCAAGGAAGACATAAGTGAAAAATGCCAAATCAAGGGCAAAACAGGAGCACTAATGTTAAAAAGGGCAACATTGCTCAAAAGCCCCTTTTGAGTTTAGCATGATTTTTTAGCAAAAAACCCAGAGCATTTGGGAGTCACGAGCTGCAAGCATCCGTGTCCATTTCCAGCCGAGGGCTGAGAGAACCTCGCACGCGTGGCTGGCACGGCGTCTGAGCACGGAAGTCGTCAGCAACATTGCTGTTTGTGTCTGGCACGGGCTGACCGCCACGTGGCGGGAGACCCGTGGGCCTGGTAGCTGTGACGTCCCCCGTCAAACACACAGTAATCGCCTGAGAACTTCCTCACAACCAGGTGTGATCCTTTTGTGGTTGCTCCTCTAAAAAAAAATAGTAATAATAACAGCTAAGAATTGATGGATGAGCATAAAAACAGAGCTCCCAAAAGATCCATATCAGTCTTTTTCTTCCTCCTTTGCTATGTTTTAAGAACTTCACCACGGTCCGGTCGTGTCTCACGCTGGCGCGACCGACGTCACTGCGGTTTCAGCTCTCCGCTCGGGGCTCACCCTCCCTCCTTCCGCTGACCTCCTGCCTCCTGCTGGCGACTTCCCCTCGTGTCAGACCCTTTCTTCCAGGTAACAGCCTGTTTATAGAGACTTATTGGTAAATACGGTATCTCTAAAGGGCAAGCTGCTTGTTTTTATAAAAAATAGCTAGGGACCTTATATTTTAGTGGATTTATATCTCTTATTTGTGTAAATTCCTGGGGGTCTTTGGTAAGAGTATACTGAATTTTTACTCGAGGGTTGAAGAGCTCCGTGGTGCAGTGAGGATGGGGGCCCTGGGCCCCTGCCACAGTCTGGGTACCAGCCTTGCTGCCAGGCCCCACAGAACCGCTTGACCATGGGGAGCTGGTTATGGTATTCAAAATAGTCGATATTGATCAAGCTCTGAGAACTATCCTTGGCCCTTAGTAACCTCTAGAGAAGTGTAGTTTTTTGTTTGTTTGTTTGTTTGCTTGCTTGTTTTTTGAGACAGAGTCTCACTCTGTGGCCTGGGGCTAGAGTGCCGTGGCGTCAATCAGCCTAGCTCACAGCAACCTCAAACTCCTGGGCTGAAGCGATCCTCCTGCCTCAGCCTCCTGAGTAGTTGGGACTACAGGCATGTGCCACCATGCCTAGCTAGTTTTTCTATATATTTTTAGTTGGCCAATTAATTTGTTTCTGTTTTTAGTAGAGATGGGGTCTCGCTCTTGCTCAGGCTGGTCTCCAACTCCTGACCTAGAGCGATCCTCCCGCCTCGGCCTCCCAGAGTGCTAGGATTACAGGCGTGAGCCACCGCGCCCGGCCTGTGAAACGGTTTTATATACCTTATCTTCATTGGTACTAGTATTTTTCAAAATTAGGGCATGAGGTTTCCAGGAACTAGTAAGTCAAATGTTATTGCTCTGCGGATTTCTAACCCTAAAATTCCCCAGCTTGGATTCATCTAATGCTAACAGCAACATAAACCTGTCAATCTCTCCAGTAGGTCTTTGGGATTTATCATGGGTCATGTGTGAGCTTTTTCAATGAAAGAAAAAAAACTTTTCTCTATACCTTACAAAGAATTATGTAAGTTGATGTACCTTCAACAATTGCTAATATCCGAGACATATTACATAAAAGAGAAAAGTCAATTATATTTTTGCTAGTGTAAGTGAACTATTCAAATAAAACATCTCCTTACATAATATACCAGGGCATATTATTGGGTTGAATGCCTGCTGGGAATTGGTTTCATTTCAAAGTTTAAAATATTTCAATTCCCACGTTTAAGGGAATGCTCTTTTCTAACAAATAAACAGGAAGATTGATGTTCTGTGTAACGACACAGTGGCACTGTGCCATTTCTTCATTTCTTCCTTCCAAATCGAGGCTGGGATTTTAAACCTCCATACAAATAACTTCATGTTTTCAGTTGACATGTCAATCTAGACATTTATGTTTCCCCAATAAATAACTTTCATAAAGTAAGATACTGGCCACTGTGGAACACTTTTCACTTGCAGGCAAACGTGATACGGTGAACACCGTATGGACAGGCATTTCCGTGCTGAGGTTCTGTTTGTTTCACAGGTTTTATTTTCCTCTCTACATGATCCCATCTGTGCCCCAGACGAGGTAGTTAAATGTATATTCCTAAAAACCATCTCATACCTAAGGCTTATTTGAGATGTGGGGAAATTAGGCCGTCAAAAGAACACGGAATGGACAGTAATTATATTGCTTTACTTGTAGGGACTGACACACCGTGCTGCCATGCTCCTTGGCAAAATGAATTCCAACAGTATGTAAATAGCTCAGGGGACAATTTTAAGGATACGTGGTTGCCTTTAAAGTAGCCTGCACTTGTCCACATAGAGGTGGCCACTTTCTCCTGAAACCCCAGCTGGCAACACAGAGGGCTTGAGGGCTCCGCACGCGGCCGGCACAGTACCGGGAGTTGGAGGACGACACGGAACTTTGACAAAGGAAACCCGTGACTGTCACAGTGACCCATGCTCTCTGACATGTATGCATTTACTGGTCACTCTTGAGTCCAATTCCTTGTGCTTCTCCCATGTGCTAATGGTATACAGGTGAGTGGTACAGATGTCTGTCACCAAAGCCCTTGGGGATTGTAGGGATGGCAAATCTAATAGCGATATCACAGCTGCACATGGGGAGGTACGATTGAGTCACGCACCTGGTGGGTGGTGGCCCAGGGTGAGGACAGCTAATTACACCTGAAGGTGTGGGCCTTCTGGGGGGAGGGGACTCCCACAGGTGCAAAATTCACGAGCACCCCCAGACCCCCAATAATATGTTGGTGTAATGCTTGGAAAAATCAGCATCAATGCAAAACAATCTGTTACAAGCAAGATATCAAAGTTCTACATGAAGACACAGTCAGGTTTGCTGATCTTTCCTTCTGCCACGGGCTGTGCCAGGGCAGCAGCTGAACCCGGAGGCTGGGGAGGGGTCGCAGAGGACGAATGGCCCTGCAACAGCAGCAGATTCTCTGTGGGGACTAGGGAAGGGAGATAGGCCAGGAATTGGGACCGTGTTCATGTCAGAGGTGTGGATGAGCCTGGGGGTCCTTACAAGCCATGTGAGGGGGCAGCTGGGAGGCATCATTTTAGCTGGGTGGTGAGGGATGGTGAGGGGGTGCAGAGTGTCAGGAGACTGAAGGACTCTCCAGGGATAAACGTTAACGCGCCCTCTCCCGTGACGGAGTTGGAGAGCTGTTGAACTCAGGGGAACCCTACGGAGACCTCAGGTGGAAGGGCTGGCGAGAGTGAAGAATCTCTTGGATTTGGGGGTGAGGGAGAAATCTAAGATAACATCTTTGCTGTCTAGGCACAAAAAGGTGCGTGGTAACGGGACTCTCTGAGGTCAAAGCCCAGGAGGAGAACGGGTGTGCAGAGGCCCGTGGGTGTTGAGTGCTGGGTAACTGACGTGATTATGCTGGGATGATCCCTGACGAGGTCGTATGGTCACCTGAGTGACAGGTAAAGATTTCTGAGCTGGACTAGAACGTACAAGGGGTGGGGGAAGCTCTGAGCCTGAGCAAGGGGGAGCAGGGAGCCCCGACGTCTCCGGCCTTTGGGTTCAGGGACGCCCTGTAACAGAAGAAAGGAGCCCCACCTGCGGTGACAGTCCTGGCAGCTCACCTGTGCTTAGAGGCTGTGGAGCCAAGGGCCTGGCTCTGCCTCTGTCACCGCAGCGCCGGGGGTGGCTGCCCGCCCTCAGCGAGCTCACGGGGAGGCAGTGTGCTTCCTGCACGAAACACCGCCCACCGACTCGCACCGGCAGTTTGTAATTCTGGAGTTTGTTTCTGGAAACCGGTTTCCCCGAGGAGGCTAAAGTCTCGATGGAAAACTGCTCAGGCCTGCAGACCAGCCAGCATCCCTTCTTTCCCACACATTAACAAACCAGACCTTGGGCTTTTTGCTCATTTGAGTTCAGGCCCTGTGTGGGCAGCATTTGCATCTGGTCCTGTGTAGGATGAACCCGAGATGCGGAAAAGGGCTGAGCCGCTGCACCCCGCAGGGCGTGTCAAGCTGTCCTTAGAGGGAGTGCTCTGAAACTGAGAAGTTAGAGGAGCACCCTCTGAGGCCAAGAGCAGCGCGGCCACGCTGCTCCCCGCCGTGCGGACCTACCGACGCAGAGGGGTGACGGGTAGTTCCAGCGGCGAACGGTCCCCGGCATGCACGAGATGTGGGAACGGCCCTGTGGAAGGACATTGGGATCAGACTCGAGTATTTGAAAATACAGCATTTAAGGATTTGTGTGTGAGACTGTACTTTCTTATCTCTTTGTTTTAATTTCAAATGTAAAAAAATCAGAAATCGTAAAATCTAGTTCTACTAATGATTACTATTGCATCATATATTTTGACTCAACATAGAAAAAAATCCATTACTACTGTATTTCTTTTTTACTAAAAAGCAATGTTCTTTTAAATAGGCCATATCTCTGCTTGGATCCTTTCCTAATATTTGAAGAAGATTGATAATTGGGCGAAGTATACTTTTTTCCCCAACATCAGAATTTATAGCTTTTGGTCTAAAAGGCCAAAAATGATTAGGGAATAGAAGGTATTGATTAGAGGGTAAAATGTCAGTGATATTTTATCTGCTTATGAAAATGTAACCTTCCTATTTGGGTCTGGTCACAAGGTACATGATCACAGGTGTGGAAAGGAAACGGGTCAGGTCTCTCTTCATCACAGAAAAGGAAGACATAATAGTCACTTGGTCACTAACCAGCCTCGCAAGCTGTCAAACTAAGCCCCCTGCAGCGAAAATGACACGCAGCACTCAGGGCCTCCTCCTCCTTTGCATATATAAAGTTTCCAACTTTCATCTTTTTTTCAATATGCTTTTTTGTTGCATCAACTTTCAGCTTTATTTATTTTATTTTATTTTTTTATTACCTCATACTATGTATGGGGGTACAAATATTGTTAGGGTTACATATATTGCCCCTGCCCCCCTCCGCGCCCGCTATGCCAGAGCTTCTAGCGTGTCCAGCCTCCAGGTGGTGCGCACCGCACCCACCGTGTAAGTGCAACTTTCAGCTTCAAAAAATCTGTTCTAGTCTTTCTCTTTTAAAAATCACGCAGGGGAGGGTTAAACTCAGAGATGTTTCCTGCTAAAATGTCTCTTACAAATTAAAGAGAAGGTAACAAATGAGACCTCTGTGTGCAGACTATGTTCTTCTTCTTCTTTCTTTCTTTTTCTGATTGTGACTCAATGGCCTTATCTGCCAGGCTTACTTGTCTGTTGAATTTCCATTTGCCACTGACAAGCTGGCATGGAGGCAACTGAAAGACATGTCTTCAACGTGTGTTAAATAATCCCAGCCACACTGGGAACACAGCAGATGAGAATTTGCACTAATGCGGTTATCAACGGCAAACCTATTCCCTATGCTTAGAAACCTTTCATACTCAATTCACCTGCCACAAACTATTTTTATCATACTTTTTGACATTGTTAAAAAGTAGTGGCAGTGAAGGATGACAGTGTTTTTAAAGAGGATATCCGGACAATGTTTTTGCTGCTAACATTCATGCTCTGTGTATGAATGAGGATTCTCTGATCCATTAAATTATCTTTAATAAATTTCTTTATTTGGAAAAATATCAAGGACAAAAGCCTCTGGAGGTATTTATTGAAGACTGCCAATAAAATAGTCATTTGTTACCAATCTATCATATTCTGCTATTGATTTTGGTAAAAACAATTCACATGAGGGATTATAGCTAAAATGTTTGTAATGAATCAAAACCAAGACAAGATTCTATGTATTTGCTTACTAGTTTCTACCCAAATGAGAATTTTCTTTTCTTTTTTTTTAAAGAAACACTAAAACAGGTCTAGGGAAGATGGAAATCATAAATCATTCAAATATTCAGGATTTCTTCTTAGCGTGTGATCCACATCACGCACATGAATCTCACTAGGCATATGTATGTGTAGACATTCACGTGTTTACTGTGCAAGGAACAATGCTTGTCACGGCTAACATGTAATTTGTGCATGCTAACATTCCAAATACATCACTGTGTTAGTAAAATTGTCAGTTATTAGCCATTTACAATAATCCAGAATCCTTTCTTGCTCATGTGAAAGACAAACAGCAGCATGCAAACTCAAAGCTTGACTTTGTAATGAAGGGGGAAAAAATAGCTCAGTTTGCATTCACAAACCAGAGCTGAGGCGTGGTCGGACTGAGCTGTAGGAGTGCGTCCACAGCTGCGTCTCAGGGCAGCACATTGAACAACTCGTTCTAAGAGATCTCTTTAACAAGGAATCCTTTCTATTTTCTCCTCTGAGGACAGTAATATCATTTAGTAAAAAGGTATATAAATAAATAAGCTCTGACTCAAGGGGGGAGGGAAGGCAAGAGCAATGTATATAACCTTAACACTTGTACCCCCTATTATGCTGAAATAAAAAAATTAAATTAAAAATAAATAAATAAATAAAACGCTAACAGAAACTGTAAAGTCACATCATCACCAAGTAGAAAGAAGATGTCCAATGGCCATCCATGGTCAAAACCATGCATGACAGCGTGGGAATTTGGGGGAGAGCAGAGAGAACACACTATTTACGTGATTTCCATCAATCATAACGCAAGCCAAAAAAATAAATAAATAAAAAGGCATAAAAGTGGCATATTGCACAGATCGAGGTGCCTCTATAAATGAAACCCTTGCAATAGGACGCATGACTTTTTACATCGTAACGTGTGAGGCAGAAAAGCCGTGTCTTGGAGTCGGCCTTGGTGGCCTTCGTGTGCTTGGCTAAACCTCGTCGAGAGGCACACCTTTCAGGGGTGCCTCCTCACGCCGTCCCGCCACGGAAACGCCAGTCCTGCCTCCCGTCTTTTTCCGAGCCTGGCGAGTGTGGCAGTAGCCACCAAGGCCTCCGCAACGGTGGCTCGGATGTGTTCTCATGAGGGCGACTTTATGTATCGGTGTCTGTTTATAATAATAGCAACGACAGTTCTCATTCACTGAAGTGTGCCAGGTATTTTATGGATGTTTCCCCCAGGCGGAAAGCACGCACCACGTGGCCTCCACACCGCACGAGTGACTGGGAGTGACCAGGTTTGAATGGGAAGCACTCGGAACAGCTCTCAGCATTCCACTTCTGCTCGCTGCTGTTGGTGCTGTCACTCAATTCGGTTCTGCTAGATGTTGCCCCTGACAGACATGCAGAAACCGAATTATCTGCAACCGTATTATTTCACAGTTGTGTTGTTGCAACTCTTTGTTGACGCTTACCCAGGCTGTTTTATTTAAGTCATTATAGAACATGGCTAAAATAAATGTCCTTGAAAAATGACCAGCTTCAATGTCATGATACACATACAGCCAACTTAACTTATATTACCTGAATTAACTGAACAGTAGGAATGTCAGCAGGCTTAAATATTTCTCCTGGACTTTTGGATATACATGTTTCAATGACCAATTTTTATTATTGGCAGGGAGAATTATATAAGAATTATGCTAAGTGATAGAAACTATACCTTGTGTGAGCCTATTCATGGTCAAACCAGAAAATAAATAATAGAAAAATGACAAATCTTACTATGCATTAGTTTATAAAAACTTTTTATTTAAAAACTATAAAAGTCTATGAAAAACCTCACACTTAATATTTCTTGAAAGTTATTTAAATCTGTTATTGGGATGCCTTGAGTACCTAGCACAAGGTATACATTTAATGATAATTTATTGATTGAATAATGACAACCGTTTGCAAAGCAGTATAAGCACATGACTTTAGCAGACTCACTTATCGGGGGTAAAGAGACGGTCAACACTTTGCCCCTAGAATGTTCTCTGCATACATATGAGCAGAACATCTATTTTTGAAATAAAATAATTGTAAAATACAGAATACTTGGCTTTGAAGCAGGACTGTATCCACTCAATGCTATTTCCAAATGATGATTAAGATCAGGGGTCCTCCAAGTTTTTAAACAGGGGGCCAGTTCACTGTCCCTCAGACCACTGGAGGGTTGGACTATAGTTTAAAAAAAGCTATGAACAAATTCCTATGCACACTGCACATATCTTATTTTGAAGTAAAAAAACAACTGGGCAAAAACACCCGCATGTGGCCCTCGGGCCATAGTTTGAGGACGCCTGGTTAAGATTATCGACGTGCATGAGTTAACAGGAATAGTTCAATTCATGGACTGAAAGGGGGAAAACGAAATTAGCCATCTGGGTATGAACTGCAGGCTCTGTCTCTAAGTGAGCGGTCTGGAGATGACCGTGGTGCACTGTTCTTACGTCACTGAGACTCAGAGAAACGTACCTGCAAGGTGTAGCCTGGCTCACACTGGAAGGAGAGCACGTCGTTCACCAAGTACCGGTCGCCGATTTTGATGCCATTGCTGGGGAGGGCCGGCTCCTGACACGCGGCCAGACCCACAGCTGCAGGGAGGCAAAGACAGACACCAGAAATGACACACGACAGACACTGTTCTCAACTGTTTGAATGATGAAAGTTTTCTTTTTCCATTGCTGTCCTGCGGTAACTCTTCCTCTTGTTATTCTACCTAAAAGAATGCTAAGTGACTTTAAATCAGAGTTACGAGCTAATGTGGAAATGCTAATTTATTTCATTTCCTTCATGCCGTGGATCAAGGCTTTTCTTTATGCGATAAAACTTGTTACTTTCGCATTTAGTGTAAAACACCTCAATCCTGACACATAGACATGGTAAAAGATCCTCAACAAAGCACGTTTCCTATTATACACAAAACTCAATGATCTTGCCCTCTTGGTTTTGTTTTTCTCAAACATACGCAGCAGGCTTTATGAAAAAAATTTAAGTGTGAATCTGGGAATTCCATTCTTCCAGAAAAACACAGTATGAGAACAAATACTTTATATTCAGTCTCTCTCTCTCTTCCCCAAGTTCTTTCTCCCCCCACCTCTCTTTATCTCTCTGTCTCTCTCTCTCTAGATAATAAAAAATTCTTATGAACAGTCTGTTTCTAATTAAACAGGACCAATATTTACGGCCCCTAAAACTGTTACCCAGCACTTTCTTGGATGAGCTGCCCTCAATTAAGGCATTCAAAGATTTTTTAAAAATTTGTCATATAATATAGGAATTCAGACTAAACTATCGAATAAATGAGCTCTGAGTATTATTAACACTGATACCTGTCTCTATAAAACCTCCTCATGAGAATAAATAAAACATGTAGTTATGGTACTTTATGGACACCAAAATCCGTTTTGGTTAGTCAAAGGTACAAACTTTGCATTGTAAGAGGAATGAGCTCTGAGGATCTAAAATGTACAGGGTGGGCGATGATGGATGTGTTAATTAATTTAATTAAAAATGTGTCTGACCTAAGTGGACATATAGGAACAACATTTATCAGGTGTGGGGCAGGTGGGGGGAAGAGGGGATGGGTATATACATACATAATGCGTGTGATGTGCACCGTCTGGGGGATGGACACGCTTGAAGCTCTGACTCGAGTGGGGAGGGGGGGGCAAGGGCAATATACGTAACCTTAACATTTGTACCCCCATAATATGCTGAAATAAAAAATAAAAGGGTACCAAATGTGTTTAAAATGGAGCTCAAGACCTGCTGATTGCAAATATCTCATCCATGGGTCTAGCATGTGTTGAAGAAGCAGGGAGATGGGCCTCCCTAGGGTAGACCAACTTATCGTTCTTTGTGTGACCTTGGATTACTGACGCTCTAGTTCTTGCACTTAACACTGACATGAGTGAGTTTATCACATTAGCTAATTGGCTGGGACCCTGAGCAGAGAGGCTGGGGTAGTGGTGAGGAACTTAGTTAATCCAAAGGGAGGCGGAAGGAACAGGTGCAAGCCAGGCAGCCACCCTGGTGGTCCCCATGCACAAGGAGAGCCCAGGTGGTCTGCCCTGCCCACGGGCTGGTCTCATGGCAGGGGCTGCTGCCAACAGATTCTCTCTCTCCATGCACACTCCACTGTCCCATTAGCCCTCATTTAAACACGCACACACACACATACAAGTTCAAAGATATAATGATTAAGAACTTCAAGACTGGTGACAACAAGCTTGGGATCCAGTACCCCTCACACAGCACTTGCTCATGGACCAGGCTCTAGGTCCAGGCTACATACAGAGTCTACACAGGCTGCTCTGGGAGACGCAAGGCAAGAGATGAAAGAACACCCCATATGGCCCCGTGTGCTAGTCGCTGTGCATTACAGTACTGCAGCTCCCCTCACAATGACGCCGCAGCCAGGCTCCTTGTCTGAAAGCAAGGGAGAGGCTAAGTGAGGGCAGCCTGGCTGGTCCAGGCGCACAGGGCAGGAAGCCTGTTCGGATAAACCCATCTCTTCTCCTGGGGGGCTAAGGGTGCATCTCCTCTACTGCCTCCATGTGGGGGCCTCACACCCTCAGTCCCTGCCCCAGACCCCCGAGTTGGACCAGGAACAGGCCTGCCCCTCTGTCCCTGGATCCTGAGAAGGTTAAACAGAGAGAGAGAGAAGTATCTTCATTTCTCATTAGTGGGATCGCTCATTTGAGAACACCGTGCTACAGAATCCGGGTCAGAATGGAAATCGTGGGTATATAATCGGCTGAATAATTTCAAGCCACGCAACATATTGATTCCATATGGGATGAGTAGGTATGAGGAGTGTCATGAAGTTTTTCTAAGTTGATTTAGATTTTTGAAATCTAAGTTGAAATAGATTTTTCCTTAAATGGCTATATTAATATATTATATATATATATATATATTTATATATAATATATATTATATATATATATATATGACACCACAAGCATTAAGCAGAAATCTATTTATGCCTAGCACAGATTTTCAAGCCATTTGGGGCTTTTCATAGAAGGATAAAACTGCTGAATATGAAAAAAAATACAATCACTTAGGCCTTTTACTTGTTTTATTGGTGTATATCTAAAATCTCTCTTTTTTTTAAGTTTAGAATATAGATGACGATGACATTTAAATTCCATCCTTTCTTCCCCACCACACAAGAGCAAAATCATCTGTCATGTATCACTTAGTTTTTTTATTTCACCCTGAAGAATATATGGACTTAAAATACCTCGTATAAAATTTCTAAGAGCAGTTGGGAACACCAAAAATCTAATTTATGGAGACACCACGTCATCATCATTTTGGCATACTTCAAGAATGCACTTGGCATGACAGAGAACAAATGATATATGTAACTCCAAAAAGTTCAAAATGAAGAGAAAAAAATATTTTGAAATAAAAAATAAAATGAATAATTCATATCAAATTCCATTTACTAAATTCTCACCTTTCTCACATAAGATATAACGGGTTTTTATTTATTTACTTTGTCTATTAAATGTTGATTTGTATGCAGTTATAGTATACTGACGTATTTTCATTTGCTCCTTCCTTGAATTCTCTAAATCCAAATCATCCCCTGAAAATAATAATAATAAAAAAACAACCTTGCATATATATCTGTCCCCTTAGGAATTATAATTAATTTTCTGAATAAAATAAAAACACACAGAAACATTCCAAACAGTGTTTAGAATGGCCAGACTTGGGAAGCAGTTATACACAGACCATGGTGTTTGGAATGTAGGAAGAACCGACGGTCTGTCTTTCCTTCCTTCTCCAGGGCCAACAGGCTATGCTAGAAGCTGAGAATGCAAAGGTCGTGCACGCTATTTGCAAGGGCATTTCTTAGTAACATCACTGAAACCTGTTGTTCTATTTACCCAGGAATTGACAAAGTGGATAAGAGGTAAGACAGGTATTTTCTGCACATTGCAATTCTGTCCTAGAGATGCAGTAATCCACCTGCAACACGGAGAGTGATGAAGCCGCTGTGGAAACAGTGGCTTTATGTCATGGGTGGGGGCAAAAGACCTGCAGGGGTTTCTGTGTTCATAGCCAAGGGTGTGTCAGACTCCGGTGCGGAAGAGCTGGGCTCTGAGCCTGTGGCCGAGACGGAAGTGCTGGAACAGGCCAGCGCGGAGCCCAGGAGGGGCCAGAGCAGAGCCCTACGGGGAGGTCTCTGTGCCAGAGCTCCTCCGTGGGGACCCGAAACAGTAATCTGGAAGGAGGTGGTGTAGTGCAAAAAAGTCGGTAACGTAGAATAAAACGATTAACTTTCTGACTTTTAGGGGACAGCAGGTGTTCTCCTGAAGAACTGTTGGTGAGGAACAAGATTAGGCTGTTTGCATTTAATCACTGTACTGATCAAAATGGGAAATAAAGATGACGCGACAGGAAGTAGGCCAGGTGGTGTTTGGTGATAAATATGAACTGGAAAGGAGGAAAATTTGGGTCTATACATGTGTACACCCTTTGTTTAAAAAACCTAAAGAGAGAATGTTCTTTAACAAATCTCTCTTTTATGCAGCGTTTTATTTATTTATTTATTTTTGAGACAGAGTCTCGCTCTGTAGCCCAGGCTAGAGTGAGTGCCGTGGCGTCAGCCTCGCTCACAGCAACCTCAAACTCCTGGGCTCAAGCAATCCTCCCGCCTCAGCCTCCCGAGTAGCTGGGACTACAGGCATGCGCCACCATGCCCGGCTAATTTTTTCTCTATATATTAGTTGGCCAATTAATTTCTTTCTATTTATAGTAGAGACCGGGTCTTGTTCTTGCTCAGGCTGATTTCGAACTTCTGACCTCGAGCGATCCTCTTGCCTCGGCCTCCCAGAGTGCTAGGATTACAGGCGTGAGCCTCCACGCCCGGCCTATGCAGCATTTTAGAAGAAAGATGCTTGCATCTGTTGAAAGGGATATTTATGCTGTTGAGTTGGGGGGGTGGGATCACATAAGTGATGGACAGACCTACACACACAGCCATTTATTTAGACACATAAATAGATATCTAGGAAGGTTTACACAGATAGAAAGAACTGTTCTAAAAGGCTAAAAATAAGTTGTGAAACAGGATCATGTGATAGGAAAATTCTAAGTCAATTTCTCAGAAGCAGAGACATCCATAAGGAGCAAATTGTCACGTTATTAGCAAAATTATTGATAGAAAGGATTTCTAGCTCTTTCAACCAATAGTGTCCTTGTATTTTATACTATAAATGACAGATAACACGCACACGTGAGAAAGTAGTGTTGCTTCAAAAGGTGGTTCTCGAACCGCCTGAGTCGGAGTCATCATGCCCCTGGTTAAATGTGGAGATGGCGTGAAGGTGATTTTGGGGAATCTAAATGTTTAAAACCATTGCTATAAAGAAACAACAAAACACACGGGGCAGCCTTGGGGGGGTGAGTTTTATGTACTATGTTGTTTTATACAATATTATCTGCAGATATATTTTGTGTTCATTTTCAATGTTAAAATTCAGGCATTTTTGAAATGTGCTCCTATATAAAGTTGCAATTGGATTTAGAATGCCGCAAAAGAAGTTTTCGAACCCCATGAATCTAGCCTGTG